GCCAAAATAATGAAGGACGTTTGTGATAACGACATGAAATAGATGTATAGGGAAAATGTCTTATACTAAGACGATGAAAATACAAAACATAGAACAACGATAAAATGATGAACTATTGATGAATTATTTAATGCAAGAATTTCACCTGAAGATGATGCTGCAAATTTTGCAGATATGTAACTTTTTTGAAAATGTTCATATAATCATCAAGTCTGTAACTCCGATGTAAAGTTTCATATGTATGTAGTGTTAAACATATGGTAATGGTTCAGCAAATCATCCATTCAACAATGGCCCAGTCTTATGCATGCCGGTAACAATAACTTAGCAATCAAGCGGTTCACTTGTTCTCATTAGTTTGTCTTATGCCACAAAACCAACAACAATAACACATAATCTCTTCTCTCAACATATGTTTCCTGCTCTTACAATCATCAATATTACATTCCAATATGTATCAACAACAAGTATCAGTTAATATCATAGCATCATGTATGTCGTCAACGGGTGCATCCAACAGTCTCTTCAACACTAATCGTTATTGAAAACAATGAATCATTTGGTTTCTTATACGATCGTGATAACTGACGTCCGACACTAGTTAGTTGAATACAACTTCATCACGAGAATTTCGTCGACTCTTCCTGCTCAGCTATCTGTAGTTTTACCAGCAGTTTATCTTCAAATAAATTGGGAAGAATTTGTTCAAGAGATTAAAGATGGATACATAGATATTGTCGATGTGGTTCGCTTAAGAAAAGAATATCAACAACTAGCACGAGCTGTTCAACTTGAATTCATATCTATGCCGTCTCAAAATGGATTATTAGAAGCAGGAAAAATTTCGATTATGCATATAAAGCACAAAAGTATGGAATATTATTCCTAGGCTAATGGTTCAATCTGTTCCAATTGTTTCGAGTTTCGTGTAAAAGTATACGGCGAAAAATATTCTAATCCGACAGATCATCAATGTTTCGACGTTCCAAAATAAATCCATTGTGCCAAATAGCATAATTCAAGCGAGACAAAATGCGATGTAGTGGAAGACTATTGGGTCGAGTATCATTTTCCTGTCAATTTAAAAAAAATTTAAATTATTGACATCTTGTAATCTATTAAACTATACATTAAATTAAATTGTTCTATTTCTTTATGATACTTCATATTGGATATAAATTCTATTTTAAAGATGACATTTATCTAAAACTTTTGTATTATGGAATATTTTCATTCAATCTAATAATCCTAATCTTCATAAATATATGTTATTCAAATAAAAATCAAAGCTAAAAGTATGCCAAAGCAGATTATACAGATTTCAAACATTGATTTCTGATTTTTCACTCCATTTTTAGCAAAACACATGGTTGTATGAATTTATCATTAGTCGAACTCTAATTTTGCCTAGACAAATTTTAATCCACAATTTATTGTAAACCGACAAACACGGATTTATATATATTGCATTATAGCAATCAACCAAGACGATATTAATTAGATTTAATTGAAATATTATTAATGAGAATTAAAAGAATATGCTCATCTGATGTATACAAAAACAACGATATTAAGAAATTACGAAATGTATTATCAAAAAACGAATATCCCAATTACGCAATAAAACAACAATTCCACAAGGAAAACTATTTATTTCATTATGAATTACTATGGAAACGAAACATTACTATTTGCTGAATATATAAAGAAAAAATGTGGAAAATTAATTTCAACTATTAAAATAAATTTTGCATTTCAAAAAATTAAATTTATTAAAAAGTATAACTTTACTATTACAGAAAGGCAACGACTCTAATCATGCCGATTGCAAAGTTATTTATAAAAGTCAACGCCGCAATCGTGATTCAACTTAATGATTGACGTACAATACACGCTATTGCCATAGTTCTATCTTAGGATAGAAGTAAAACAAAAGACCTGAAACTTCTACAGTACATTATTCTAATTAAGATCTATGTCTTCAAAAGTTCAAGTCGAAATTTGACATTAAGGTTTTCTATTGTTTCTCAGCGAGATTACGGCATTTATTTTTAAAAAATCTATAAAAATACAGTATCTCCCCATAATAATAAGCTAACCCCTCGAACTCTTTTGAAGGGATGCATAGCTCATTTGGATCTACATAAGGCACATAGTTTGGATTCAAAAATGATTGAATAGTTTGTGGTCTCCCCTGGTTAGTTCAGTTTTTTGGGTGGGTGTCTTGAGAAAAACAAAATACTTATTCATGTCTTGTTTACTATAGCTAGATATATAATAGATCTTTAGAATAACTTGAGTATGTCAAGGCCATTGGGCTGATCAGCCTAGTAATTCTTACAATAATGAATAAATTTGGATGAAAATAACTCGTCAGAACCAGTGTTTGAGCACTATCTTGATAACAGCAAAGTGTCTTTTTTTTTTAACGGTGAAGACTTTATTTGTTTCTTTAAGAGTTATAGAGTAGATTGAGTCCCATCAATTGTTTAATGACTAGCATAAGACGGAAATGCATCTTCTTGTCTTGTTCCCTTCTCTCAAAAGAATAAGTGAACATTCCTGTTAAGCTTCGACAGACATATAAAGTGATGTAATTATTTAAAGTAGCTAGCTGCTTTTCTCCTGAAGTCTATAATCAACAGAGTTTTTCTTAAGAAAATTGTGGAAGAATCTGAATTCTTCTTTCATTACAAATAAAAGCTGTAAAAGTATTTTTGGCTCATCAATTTCCATTTCTTAATTCCATTGGCCGGTATCATCTTTTGCCTACTGAAAAATATTATTGAAAACAAATCGCTGCCAAGATGACCAGCTTTGCAAACAAAAATACTGAAGAATGTTGCTATTTTTGAAGCAAAAAACAGATTATAGCGAAAACAATCGGAAGACAATGTCGGACATATTTTCGTGAAGTTTTTCAAAAAGTTTATCTGAACCAATGAAGTGTTTGAAAGTCCGACGATTTTGCACCAAGTTAGTTAGAAACAACAGAAATGTGCCAGACGCACAGAAACATCAAAATCTAATATCCTATTGTAAGAAATAAAAATCATCTGTTTAAAATAAAATTATGTAAATCGATATACACATTATGTAAAAGCAATATTTTCAAATTATCCAAAACACTTTAAAACATGTTGTACTCATCATGATTGAGAATGGGATAAAGAAAAGTTTATCAAGAACAAAAACTAAACGGTAACTTAAAGCCTATTTTATATTGATGGAATAATAATGAAAAATCTTTGACTATTTGCTCTGCCAACGTGGACGTGGTTATGAATCCATGTTTATTACTTTCATTTTATTCGGTGGGTTTTCATACTTGAACGTTGCATTCATTTATCATACTCAGCGATACATGATAGTCACGCTCATCAATGCCAAAAGTCAATAGAGAAGCTTTAAAAGCCAAAGCTTTTGAGAAAGAAAAAACGTTGTTTTCTTCTGTATGAGAGTTCAGAAAAACCTATGTTATATCCTTAAATCTCATCATAAAATCAGTAAATAGTACATTCGAGAGTAGATATTTTGCTCTATTTAACGAGCTATAAATTACAAAATCGATAAATTTGACTGAAATTGGATTTTTTTTAGGAAGAAGCTTGAATTGAATACATATAGACTTATCTCGGTGTCTAAGTAATGTTTATGCATGACAGTGAACGTCTATTAATAGTTCCGAGCTTCTTGCCTGCTTAAAAAACATGTATTATATATGATCGACGAGCTGTTAAAATACTGCCATATATGAATGTTTTTGAGGCAAACCAACTTTTTATATATGTTTGTTCTTTCAGAATTACGAATGCATCTCCATGTAAATGGAACTCAATCAAAAACAAGACTCTAAAGAATATCCTATTGATTATTCTCTATCTTGCGGGATTGATCTATTTAACCATTTGAAGAAAACGTATCCGTTTGTTTATGCTTCAGGCATACGGAAAACTCGAGAAATACCATTATTCTATACTTTATTCCCCAATCATTTCTGTCTATCAGTCATACATCATTATATCGTGATAATTTGTCCATAATATTATTTTTTTTTTGTAATAGTAGCATTGAGTACTCAATTAATAGCCAATTTAAATTTCTTCAAAATAGTTTATCATATATATATATATGTGTGTGCAAAATTATTAATAATAAAGAGAAGAAATTAATAGATTGAGTTCAAGAATGTAATATAGTATGACTTGCAATAATTAATAAATAATTTGAAAATCAAAACCAATCTATGATCGTCAATATTAATTTAACTTCATACGGTAAAATGAAGAAGTCTTACTATTAGAATAATTGATGCTATAAAGTAAAACTATAATCGGATTTATTCTTTAGGCTGACAAGAGAATAATTAGTTCTGTCATCTTTTTCTTTCTTGTTCTACGTCCCACAAGTATTCAACATCGTTCTTTGTCTATATCTCTCAATAATTAATTATGTCAAACAACATTTTTTAATTGTCTTGTTTAAATTATATTTCCGGTGTCACATATTTTCTTTTTTAGCATCTTGCTTTCTTTCCTAAATCTATCATATTTAATTATACAGAAAAGAAGAAGAAGAAGAGAAATAAATGACCTCATTTTTCACTCGTATTCAATGCAATTCACGAAACGGAATACAGGCATACAAATAATAGCGAGCAATAGTAACACCGACATGTTCAGCTAGACATATTTAAAAGCGCAAAAGTCGACTAAGAACAACAACAACAGGAGTATGGAAGAATAGGAAAAAAAGTCATCAGACAGGGTGCCTATCAATAATTCTTCTTTCTTTAAACTTCGTGCATATGCTAGAACAAAAGTAGTACTGTGAGTAACGAAGGCAAACAATAAGAATGTGAAGAGAAAAAAAAAGACTACAGGAAATACTATTGATTTAATAGTATGCATTCAAAACAACACTATTAACAGAAAAAAGAAATTCAGACAAAGCAATAATTCATCAAGCTTATTCACAATCTGATTTGTTATTACACAAATATGACGAATTGTTGCTTCTTCCTAATCCTAATTATTGTTTATAATTTTGAACAGTTGCAAGCACATCATTATCCATATAAACATTATTCACGACATCCCGTCGGTGAAACTATTTATGATAATGAAACAATTACTGGAAATGATGACGACAGTGACATGTGTCATTTGAGTGTACGATGTCCTTCTGTACCTAGTCTCTGTAAAGTAGATTCATTATTTTTTCTTTAAGTTAATCATTAATCTTCACCATAGATCCTTACGATCGAGATAGTCGTAATCGTCGTTTTAGTGTTGATACTTTCTTAGCAATGCATGGACCACCAGGACCACCTGGTATATCAGGTCCACAAGGCAATTCTGGACCGCGTGGTGCTGTTGGGCCTCAAGGTATCTACACTCATAAAATAGATGAGAATGGATTATCCGTTTGTTCTATTTTAGGTAAAGTGGGTCGATCAAAAGAACCAATACCTATTATAGCTTTTGTAGCTTATCTTCAAAAAATGCTTTCTATTGAATCAAATCGTTCAGAACCTATTATTTTTGAAAAGGCTGATATTAATGAAGGCAATGGTTATAACTCGACAACAGGTATATTTACAGCTGCTTATCGAGGTATTTATAAATTTAGTGTAACAATTATGGCACAAATGGATTCAATTGTAAGTTTAATAAAAACAAAAATGATCTTATTTTTGTTTTATTTAATAAAATATTAGGCTACTGTACGTATAGTACATAATGAAAATAATGTACTCGGTATGATTCGATGTGATTGTCGACGTCGTTTTTCACATGTACGTGGATCTATTTATGCTGAATTAGATGTTAATGATCATGTCATGGTTGAAGCCCTTGGCGATCTTAATGATCCAGGTCAAACAGCTCCACGTAATAATATATATGGTTATACATATACACATTTTAGTGGTGTACTTTTATTTTTAACAGATATTTTATCAATAATTTGAATGTCATTTTGTGTTGTTTTATTTTTGTTCTGGACTAGAATGCAAATAGCTCTAATAAAAATGAACGATTTCTTTTTTTCTCCTTCTCCTAAGGTTTTCTAAGCATGAAAGAAAAATTGTCACTTTTGGCAATGAATCTAATTCAGTCTGTCTATCTCATTCGGGAATCTATGTAATAAGAAAGTCAAGATATGATGATGTCTTTGGCATCTTTATAATGGTTTTTTTTTTTCATTGGCTTCTGTAATATAAATATGAATCTCTGTTTTTGTCGTCATCATTCGAGATCTAATTTAATTTGAGTAAAATAAGTGTCATTTCCCTGAAGAATAAGAATAGAACGAATGATAAATTCTTTTTTTTTTTTCGAAAAGATCTTCTTGATATATTGATATTAGATTTTTATTTATATATATAATAGATTTTTCTTCAATGTCAGAAAAACAAACATCATTTTCATTTGTGCTTTTCTATACACAATCGAAAATATTCGGTGAGTCTGAATCAGAATAAATACAAAAAAAGGGAATCTGATATGCAATTATTATCTTCTGTTAATCAGCTAATTCTATATATAAAGAAAAAAAAAAGGCTACTGAATGAATTTTGAAGACATTTCTTTTTTGTCATATGTTATATATGCATTCTCGTGTGTTATTCTTCTATCCGATAGCGATTGATTGAAGACGAATCAATTTATGATGAAAATTCAATTGTATTTCTAATATTATTCATAATCATTATTAAATCAATGATGTTTGAATTTCTTCTAATAGAATTTATTTTCATCGTAATCTTGAAGAGATAGAACACTCGATCGTGTACAATAGATAGACTGATTTATGAATGTTCAGTTTCCGATTATCTATAGATGTATAGTGGTAATATCGAGGTAGAATATTAAAAAATATGACGATACAAATTGTTCTACATTCTGTTTCCTTTAGTCAATCAATTTTTAATATAGTCATTGACAAGCGATAGTTAACCTTGATAGAAAAAAAGGAAATGACAATAACATTTAGATTTGTCTATATTTTCTTTCATGTAGTTGTCCGTTGGTATATATATGTTTATATATTTCTAGATAACAATTCTTGATAAATAGCAGACATCTTATTTTTGATGTTGCAATAATATAGTCTTTTCTTTGTAAATGCTCTACATCAATATTGACTATAATCCATGTGGTATTGTTCATATATTTTCATTTATAATTATTTGATTTTATTATTTATTTCTTTAATAAAATCAAAACAAATACCATTAATTGGACTTTTTACACGAGATAATCAAGAAAATAATAATTATTCATCATCATCCTTAATTATTGATTATGCAATACAACATTTAAAAACAATAAAAAGTCTTCATACTGAACTTACTATACAACGTCATGAACAAGATATTCCATGTGATATGGCTATTGGAACAAAACTGATTTTCGATATGATACATCGAAGTCCAAGACCATTAGCTATATTTAGTGGTTCATGTCAAACAGTAGCATCAGCTATTGCTGAAACAGCTGGAATATATGATATGACTATAGTATGATGTTGATCTTAGTTTAACATTTATTAACTTTGTTTCTTTTTTATTTATTTCGAATAGGTAATCTATTCTGAAACAAGTTCACTTTTTACTGCTAGAGAAAAATATCCATCATTGATACGTACTGTACCAGGTGATTCTCAACATAATATAGGTAAAAAGAAGTCATCATAAAAAAAGAAAATAAAAAAATTTTTTTTTTTTTAAATGTTAGCTCGAAAACTATTATTGAGAAAATATAATTGGCGTCGATTTGGAATATTATATCAATATGAACGACAGTATACTATGGTATATTGAACAAAAAACAAAATGATTTACTTTTTCGAACAAGTTTCTTTTTTTTGCTTATTATAGCCTGTAACACGATTCAATGATCTTTTACAAGATGAAACTGGTTGGGAGAATGCTCTATCAAGAGGTATATCATTTAATGATCTAGATGAAACACAAGGTAATCGAACAAGAAATTCATTAAAAGATACATTCGATGAATTACAGGTAAATTTTTGATAATTAAAAATTGTTTTTACATGACTTTGACAAATACTCAATTGTTAATATAGATTCCTTTATTAGAAAAAAAAATAAAACAGGAACACGTAGTCGGAGAAAATTTCCTAAACAAAAAGTCTTCCGGAAGTTCTATAGAATGTTGAAGAATTGCCTTTGTTTTGAATATTACTATGATGTACTCAATGAGCATATAATTTGTCATCTATTATATTCAAATAATAGATAACCTATTTAAATAATACTGATGTGTCATTCGATATATATCAATCTATATATTTCTTTTTTTGTTTCAGAAAAAAAACCAGAAGATTCATAAATCATCCACATCATTATCTAAATACAAATCTTTTTTTTTTCTCTGCTTAATATTTTCCAAACAAAAAAAAAATGTCATTGAAAGTAAGGTGGTCGATAACTGTTGCGATATTTAATTTCTTCTATATCAAACTAACACACAAGGTGTTAGAAAGGAAACACTGGTAGAATTAACTTTATAGTACTAATATGTGCTGTACACAGTTTGATTAAAATAGTCCATGGTTGTCATATGTACATTGAACACGAGTGTTGATGATAATCATCTCTCTTAATCTTCGTAATCTCATGAATGTCGACACTAGTTAGCATATAGTTCGATAGCACTTATCAAGAACTTCAAAATCATATACAAATATCGATGAAAAAATATTGGTCACTCACAGAAATTCTAAGAACATTGTTTTCGAGACAAGATTTCGAGCCTTTTTTTACTAGTATTCAACAGGTTTCGATAAGAAAGTGAACAAACTTTTTTTCTTTCGTCGAAAAATTCACCCGTGGTCTCCCTTAAGGTTGGATAAAAAAATGAAGTTGATGGAAACTTTGTTCTTTTTTTTTTTTGATGACGTTAGATTTTTTATTCAACCCTGAAGGAGAACCGTGGGTAAATTTTTGATGAAAAAAAAAAAGGTTGTTGAAAATATTTGAAACACATGTAGATCCACTCAGTTTGGAATGCTGAATCAGAATATCGTATTAACCTTTACTTGAATCGTAATTTTCTTATCGAAATCTACTGAGTACTAGTAAAACGAGGCTCTAATGATTAATATTATTTCCTTGATGTTTTTACATCATTTTGAAGCTCTTGACAAATACTATTGAACCATATGAAAACTAGACCCATCGTTCATGAGATGAGTAAATAAAAGAAACTGATTATCATCGAATTGTACATGCAGCAACCATTGAGTAATTCTATCAAAGTTTACTTTCTGACACTTTGTGTGATAGTTTGACAAAGAAGAAATTAAAGTTCTTGAGAGATCAATTTTAACAGTTATCAAACTCTGTCTTTTATTTGAACAAACTCAAGAGAGAATCTCTTCTGGTGTTAAATCATTTTTCGACTTAAACAATATTCATTTGATAAGTAATTAGTAGTGATTAATAGAATTTCTACTTCAAACTTTGTACAAATACAAATTCTCAAAGAGATTAGTTCCTTTAACAAATTGTAACTTTTCGAATATCTCCTACCCTGAGATATTGAATACTCGAAACTCTCCGATGTGTATAAGTAAATTTACGTCTCCAGAAATGAAAACTAGTTGCATAATCAACTAATCTGATCAAGAAGTTTGTTCGTAGAGAGTTTGAAGTCGATTAGAAGACCACAGCTTTTTATTGAAAAAAAAATCAGTAAAATTTCGATACCTTGAGAATGAAGGTCCGTAAAACGAAATTACTCTAGTCTTTTCTATTACTGATCAAATGAACATCGTCTTCGTCGAACATCGATTTGAGACTTGGTAAAGTTTTTTCATCAACAATGTTTATTTACTTATTAATCTTTAAGAATTCAAAATAAATCAATATCTTTTAAATTTTATTTTTATTCTTATTTTTCTAGCGAAATAACATTCGAATAATTCTTGGTAATTTCAATTCGACAATGGCTATTCGAATATTTTGTGAAGTAAATAAATAAAATTTTACATTAAAATTCTATGAATATTATTTAGGCATTTCGTTATCATTTATTTGGTTCACGTTTTCAATGGATTATTGTCGGTTATTATGAACCAGAATGGTGGTTAAATAATCCCGGTCCTTGTAATACATCAGAAATTTTATATGCATTAAATGGTACACTTCAAACTCGTGTTGCTAAATTAGGTTATTATGTTAATACACGAACAATAGCTGATTTAGTTTGTATATATTATTTTTTAAATTCTATTTTTCATGTGTTTTTGTTTTTATTTTTTAGACACCAGATCAATTTAATTTTGATTTATCAATACTTAAAACATCAAATTATTTTGTTGGTTATGCATTTGATGCTATTCTAACATTAACATCTGCATTTGAAAAATTAAAAGATTGTCCAGATGAATTTCATATTGATTCTGTATGGCGTCAATCATGTTGGCGTCATGAATTAATTAATATAATTAAAGCAACTGATATTGAAGGTGTTACAGGACGTATACGTTTCAATAATGGTGATCGTATTGGTGAAATTGTTATTGAACAAATTTTAGGTATAACAGAATAAGTTTTATCTTTTTTTGTATCTTTTCACATAGTTTATCATAGTTACAAATCAACAGTAGTTGATATTGTTCAATTATTTGTTGCATTACCAACAAATCAATCAAAATATATTCTTTTACCAGCAAGAAATGAACGAAATATAACTTGGCATGGTAAAAGATGCTTTAAATTTTCTTTGAAAAGTGTTTAATTTTGAAACTAAAATAGGTCATGGACCACCTAATGATCGTATAAGACGTATTGAACTTGATCAACGAATTTCTATATTAACATATGCAATAATGGCTAGTATTAGTGGTATAGGAATTTTTTTAGCAATAGGATTTTTTGTATTTAATATTATTTTTCGTACACATAGGTAAACAAAAATTGATTCTTTTCTTTTTAGTAGAAAATATTAAATAGGTTTTTTTTGTTTTTTTGTTAAAAAATAGATTTATTAGAATGTCAAGTCCACAAATAAATAATTTAATTATAGCTGGTTGTATTCTTTCATATACAAGTGTTCTTTTAATGGGTATTGATTCGACTTTATTAGGAAAAAGAAGTTCAGAATCAGCAATGAATTTCATTTGTGCAGTAAGACTCATTGATTAGATTGAAACATTAGTTCATTCATATTTTTAAATAAAAAGGCTCGTGTTTGGACTTTATCAATTGGTTTTACTATATCATTTGGAGCTATACTTAGTAAAACATGGCGTGTTCATACGATATTTACCAAAATTCATGCATCAAAACGAGTAAATGATCGAATCAGTTAAGTTTAAAAAACTAACAGCTTGTTTATTTTATTTTTAAGGCAATTAAAGATTATCGTTTATTTATTTTTGTTGGAATACTTTTTGCTATTGATACAGTTCTATTAACATCATGGCAAATTGTTGATCCATTAAAAGTTTTTAAAGATATTAGTCAAACACAAGTAGATAAAATTTTTCAATAAAAAAAAACTTTAAAGAGTTATTCATTATTATTTTATATAAATTAAGACTAAAGATGAAGATGTTGTTATTTTATGGATTTATGAAGAATGTCGATCTAATCGTCGACCAATATGGATTACAATGTTATCGATTTATAAAGGTGTTTTGATGGTAAGTCATATTGCAGTAGACAAACAACTTCAAATGACTGTTTACTTAAAAATCATTTAACTTTAATGGAAAGTATTGTATTAGACATGCATAAAACTCGAACTTGAGTTTCATACTCGAGAACAGAGATGTCTGGAAACAAATTCTTCTGACTTGAGTCCCGGTAGCGATCGTTTTTTTTTTAGAAAGTTTTTAGCATGAATATATTTTTAATTATGAATTTATATCGAAAATAAAATAACTTGAGAAAAAACCAATTTTCTATCATTTACTACGCGCAGATCGCACATGACTAGAGTCCATCATGTTAATCCCGAATCCGAGGGACTCGACATATAACCCAAGTTATCAAGAAGCATAGTGGTTTCATATCTCTAATCAAGACGATTTTCTACATTGTTCTACAAATAGATTATTCGACTGCACAAATACCAGAAGAAATAGTCGGTGTAAGTGAATAAAAGAAAAGAATTTAATTTCTTTTTTTATAAATCTATTGTTTAATAAATGCTCTATACATTCTTCGGAAATAGTCCTAATTCAATTTTCTTTTTATTCTATTCTGAATAGATAGTTTCTATCAAATGGGTTAAAAGTGATGCAACAGAAGGTCAAAGTTTAAGCTCATCTTTCTTCAGTACACAAGATAAAATCTAAAAAAAAAATGAGATTTATATTTATGAAATGCTACGAACAATTAGAATGAAAGCGTTTTAATCCTACGTTATTTTTATGAATAGTAGCTCTTTAAAACTTTTAACTTATTTTTCTTTTATTAAATAAGGTTGCTGGATCACGTTTTGCATGGGCAACACGAAATGTTCGTATAACGGCATTAAATGATTCGGCTTATGTTGGTATGAGTCTTTACAATGTTGTTCTATTAAGTATAACAACAGCTGTTGTTGGTTATTTTTTACGTGATCAACATGAACGTTCTTATATAATAACATCTGTATTTATTTTACTTTGTGTTACAATAACATTGTGTCTTGTATTTGTACCAAAAGTTCTTGAAGTAGCAAAAGATCCACGTTCAAAGGCTAAGCCACAACATGCTATTATTACAAGTACAAGACGTCGTTTATCAAGAGATAAACGATGTGTTAAACAACAACCAAAATTATCCATAAAAAGTTTAACAAGTCAAAATGAAATGTTACGATTAAATGCAACAAGGGTTGGAACTTTTATTTTATTGATATTTTGAAGAAAAGGAACTAGCGCTGATACTTTCTCTGCTAATCATTTTCTTTTGTTGTGAGTGTTTTGAGGATAAGAGATCATTATATCAGAACTTGAACATTTTTATTCTTAACATGGATGTCTTCGTGAAACTATCTGAAAGCTTTAACCGAAAAGAATGTATCTTTGTTGAAGTATTGAATTCTCAAGTAAACTTGATTTTTGTGGTAAGTGAATAATTTTTGGAAATTCAATATCTCAACAAAAGAAGATTGTTTTCGTTCGAAACTTTTAGTATATTCTACATGTCATTCAGCCAATCTATGAGCAAAAATTCTGTTTTTTTTAATTTTTCAGTACATATCTATCAATAAAAGGATTTTAATTCGCGAGGGAACCTCTTCAAGTATCAAATCGCTTTTTGTTCAAAGTGACGTTAGTTTGATAAGTGCTAGTGAGTAATAGCAAAGTCTAGAATGGTTTGGTTTTTCGGGCTTTTGTTTTTCGGAAATCAATTTACTAGTGTCGAATTCAAATTTTGCATGAATAAAGTTCTGAATGAGATTAGTTTATTGTGCAAGTAATATTTTCTTTCTGGAAATGTAAATATAGAAACAAAATTTACTTTTACACAAATTAGAATTTCGAATATTGAATATTTCAGGATGGAAGATACTAGAAAAGTTACGACTAGCTTATTGAACTAGTCCCATTAAGAACTTGGCTCGTGCAAAGTTTCGATATGTCAAGAACGAAGACTCGGAAAACGAAATGTTTTCTAGTTTTTTCTATTACTCATTAGTACTCATCAATTAAATATTGTCTCGATGGAAAAGTGATCTGACATGAGAAGATTTCCTCTTCACCTCCAAAAGTCCACAGAGACCAACCTTCTTCGACTTTTTCTTCTCTTACCGATAACTCCTTGTGAGTGCAATATGAGCTCAAACGGGATGTATAAGTTCGTGTGGCTCCGTCGTAAGAATATTTTTCTTATTATTTTTTTGTTTACAAGTAGGATTGTCTCTTTGATTACTGATAACAGTTAAGGAAAACATATATTCCCAACGGGAAAATCAAAATATCAGATTTATTAAGATTCTTTTTATTTTTACTTTTTCCATTTTTATTTTAGTGCGATGAATTAATAAATAGACTCTCATCTGCAATAGCAGATCCACATTATAAAGCATATCGATATGAAATATATATACGTATGTTAATAATTAAAAACAAAACAAAAAAAAATAAGAAATTGAGCTAATGATCTTTTCTTATTTTAGCCATATCAACATGTATTAATGATGAAATAAAGTATACTGAAGAATCCGATTGGTTATTTGAAGATGAAAATAAATCAATAAAATTTAAAAAAATAGAAAACTAACTAACTCATTTGTAAAATTATTAGTTTTTGCTTGTGATTATTGTTTTTCTTTTTTTATTCTGTAAAATTATAATAATTGTAAAAAGCGAAGTTCCACAATCTAAATGGAATATACTATTTCATTATAACTTATAATTATAAATTCTTTTTGTTTTCATTAAATTATTCTAAATAATTTTCAGATGAAATACTTCATCAATTGATGTACATGTTTCTTCTTTTCTTCCTTGATATTTCTCTTCTTTTTTTGTTTTTTTTTTTCTTCTCTTCGAGTTTTTTTCTTGGTCAATAATTATCGATCACTAGTATATGTTGATATACCGTTTTTTTTTCCATATCCAATAGAGAAAGAATCAAAATGCATGTTTATCAGGTTGCTTGAGAGAACGATAGGAGAATGACAAAAGGAACGTTAGTACTATTATTATGCTAAAAGAAAAAAAATAAGACGAGTGCGGTTATGACATGCGCCGGCCATGGCCATCGTCACTAAGTAAAGAACAACAAGAAACTGCATAATAAAAAAAAAAAAAAAGAAAGACGTTTCCAGCAATTCTCGTCTATCCTTTAGCTTTTTTCTACTCTTTCGAAGGCCAGCATAACGACGTATTAGTATATAAACAACAAATTTGTTGCCTTCATTAGCAAAACAAGATGTATGGTAATTCGATCTTGCTAACTTTTATTTTGCTTATTGTATTGATTAATGGACAATATGATAAAAAAAAAAATTTCCTACAAGGTATCAAAACAAAGCAACAAAAATCTTTTGATTGTTTATTTTATTTTTTTAAACTTAGACATTAATCAACCAGCTCGAAGTTCAAAATCATCATTTGATGCACAATTCTATCGTGGACGATGTCCTGATTATTTTTATCAAATAGGTGATGAATGTTTATATTTTGGTACTGATGGTAAAAAGTATTCGTGGTATCAAACACAAAATATATGTGCAATACGAATAGCTCGTTTATTAGAGCACCAAGCAAAATTTGTAATTGGTGGAATTAATATTAAACCAAATAAAGGTGTACGACAATTAATATTAAATACACCAGAAAAAACAAAAATTTTAGAAGCTCTTTATCGAGAATATGATGAATTAAATTTTGCTATACGTCTTCCATCGGATTATAATACATTACAACGATGTCATGATGGAAAAGAAGATAATTGGCCACAATATTGTGTTAATCTCGATAGTTCTAATGGTACATGTTTTGAAACTAGTGGACTTGATTCAAATCATATATGTTTACGTCACATAGATTGTGATATACGTTATTTAAGATTTGCATGTGAATTCACATTACCAGGTTTTTTTTTTATATTCGAAATAAAACGATAGATAGTTTAAGAATTATTTTTATCTAGGAAATTCGGAATTGAGTGCTTCAAAATTTCGTAACTGTCCGAAAGGCCATGGTCTTCGTCGTCGTTTACCAATATGGGCTTGGCTATTGGTAGCTGTGGGTGCTATGTTATTACTTCTTCTTATTCTTGGTGGTGTCTTAGCATTTATTCGTAATTCAAAAAAAGAATTACCTCAAACAAGAAAATCAATATCAGAAACTCTTCGTACTGATAAAGAAGGTATTAATCAAATTTTACTAATCATACCGGACTCATCTATTTTCTTATTTTAGCTATTCATATCACAGGAAATCGCGACGAACCAACTATTGAACCGGTATAAATTTTTATCTTTGTTCTCATTTGAGACATGATAATATTTGTTATTTAGGTACTTGTTCGATCTGCTCGGACTAGTATATCTAATACTGACTATCTAGAGCCACAACAATTAAAACGTATGATTCCTCCAACAATAAAAATAAGAACAGCATCAATAGGACAAGATAGTACTTCTCCATCTGTTTAATTAAAACATTTTAAACTTTGTATGTTTTTTTTTTGTGTGCGATGTTCTGCCGTCCTATGAACGTCGGTTTATTTTTCTTGTCTTTTATATATATATATGTATTTTTTCATTATAAAAAAGAAACACAAACAAACAAAAACAACGATCTGTTATGCATGTGTTTGTGTGTATGTGAGTAAATGAAATATGATTATTAATTAATCTACGTCAGTAATAGTTGATAAAGGTACTGAAGGTACTTTCTTGGAATTTTGTTGGACGGATGTTGGTGATGATGTTTGTTCATTTGATGGTGTTTTTTTTAATGAACGTTCAAGTAAATAAGCATCCGATGGTTCTAAACGTCGATAATATTCAACTGCTGTTGAAATAATTTGAAAACCAAATTTTTTATAAAATGATAAAGCTGTTTCATTATTAACTTGAACATGTCTACATTAATCAAAATAATAAAATTCTATAGAAAACTTTTTATTTTATATACATACAAATAAATACTATCAATATTTCCTTCACGTTCACAAACTTTAAATACATGTTCAAGCATTAATGTACCTAATCATAATGGAAAAAAAAAAAAACTAGAATAAAAATCATATTTAATCTATTAATTAATATTACCTAAGCCAAGTTCACGATATTTTGCAAGAACACCTAATGTCATTATATATAATCGTCGACGATTTTCTGATAGATCAATACGACAACATACGGCACCAACAACAATATCATTACAATAGGCTAAAGTAATTTTTTTTTTTTAATAAACAATTCATCAAAATAATTCTATAGAATTATCTATCTAATTTAACTATAATTAACTCATGTATGTGATTTTATCAAGAGACAAGCAAAAAAAATAGCCATAGGAAAAACATCTTTAATATCCTACAAATATGCTATTATCTCAAGATATAAATAATGTTATTCTGTCAGATTCTCAACTAATATTCATACATATATTGATTGCTTTAATCAATCATTAATCTATATAGATAAAATAAGACAAAATTTCTATCAAGGTTAACTCGACCCCTCGAAAACAAAAAAAAAAGTTATTGTCATCAAAGCAATGAAAATTACGATAAATGTACTGGAAGATAATTGGAGGTTTGTTCTTTCAGAAACAACATGAGTTTTTCATTCACATCTCTTTTTCTTTTTGGTAAAGAAAGACAAATTTTGTATTGAAAATAAGTATTTTATAAAGAATCATAGACACATTATGATAAATTTCAATACGGTTCATAAAACAATAAACCTCATGAGTAGTATGTTATCTAGATTTTCTTTTTCCGGGAGAGTCAACTAGACTTTCGAAGCGACGCCGCTCTTTCGGCCTTCACGCTGGATAAAACACTGATGATGAAAACAAGAAAAGAAAGATGTCAAAAAACAACGTGATCGACACATATCATAACAATTCGCCATTTGTTCTTTCTTTCTTTCTGATGACTATTTATAAATCATAATTATTGTTTCCATAAGGGCGAGAAATATTTGTAATGATGAGTATGGACTGAAGGAACTTATGGTTGATTTTAATAGAATATTTTCGAGCAAGTCTACTATACTTATTTATATACAACTCAAAAAAATATATATGACAGTTGGCGTTTATTCTTTGTTTATGTCATTTTTTAATTGCATAACTCAGAATTGTCTATGAGTCTTAACTCTACATATTTAATCTTCGATTTTTTTTTTGCATGAAAGAATATGTCAAGATGCGAAGTCCTTCTTTTGAATTTAGCTTTGTTTTTATTATGTATATACAAACACTTACATAAATGGATCTTTATGTTTTGAGATCTTCAATTTGTCAGTCTTTTGTTCCATATACAAAGTAAAAATTTGAATGAAAGGAAAGTTTCATGTCCTGCATCTTGACAGTTCAATAGGGTTGGCAAATTAGTTATTTATTTTTATACTCGTTCGATGAATAGTTCAAGAAAACATCATAGTATAGAGCTGAAAATTTCAGATGTTTTGAATGTATCTGACGTGAAATCGATTTTTAAGGTAGGAAGTAGCTGTAAGAATACTCTCATCTTTTTTTGACCTTTTTTAGTTCTCATGGGCAAAGAAACACGTGTTCGAAGAAAAAAATTTTGACATGGAATTTTTGCTGGAAAACCAGGTTTCCCACACGGTCACCTCATGGTTGCTTACGAATTTCATCTCACTTTCTCGGATTGAATTGAAAGTTGTTTTTTTTTTTGAGACATCCTGTATTTGAGATCAGACTTCAAATTATTATGTAGGGTCTGTTGAGACTAGAAGAAACCTAGAAGGATTCTAACTCAAATGCTGCTGTTTTGGTGGAACATCATTGGCTTTTGTGAATTCGATAGTCTGACATGAGATTACTTCTTTTTCCTGAATTTTCTAGAAGATTCTAATGACTTCAAGAGTTGTCTATGGGCAAAGTTTTAGATTAAAATTTTTGTCTTCGATGTTTTTTGTAAATACTATGCCAAAGGTAAAAAATTCAGTATAACGGTCATATCTCCATAATGGTAGCGCATGGGAAAGGGTAATTCTCTCATTAGAGAGATAATCTTAAATATCTCCAAAAAACATTTCCAGTCCAATTGGATAAAGTTAGATAGATGATTGAAACCATTCAGGCTGTACCTATATATGGAAAACTAGGATGTTCCAGCAAAAATTCATTTCTAAATATTTTCTCTCGAATACATGTCTCCTTATTTTTGGTGTTCTATCTATGGTAGAGACTGTAGATTGATCGGTTCTATCGTCTTCAAGAACCATAAGCAATCAAAGATGAAGTACTGAATCCCCTTAATGATCCTATTGTATTTAAAAAAAAAAAATAAAATAAAATCTTGTAATATACCTAGTTTGCATAATTCGCCAGCACCTAATAAATCTTTATAAAATTTTTCATTATAAGCAACTGGAAAAACATCCCGATTGAGTACTTTAAGTTGTTTTAAATTATGTTGTGTTAAATCGCCTAATTCAATAGTGACACGTTTAACTCTGAAAATAAAAAATGATAATTAATTTTGTTTAAATAAATGAAAATTAAAAAAACTAACACTCGTTTTACTCTATTTTCTTTCGATTCACTGTTATTAATATTATTATTCATCGTAACAGTATTTGTCATATCTAGAAAAAAGAAAACAATGTTAACAGATTCTTTTATGTCTATAAAAAATTCTTTTTTTGTTTTGGTTTTTTTTTAATAATTATTTAAAGTTTTAAATTTTCCATTTCTTCTATTAATTCATTTTCACGTTTTATTTTTTCTAATTGATCAACTTCAAGTTTATCACCATTTGCTAATCGTTCTTTAAGACCTTTGATTTGTTGTAATTTCTGAACATTTAAATTAAATAAAAATATCAAATTATCATCAAAAACAACACATACTTTATGTATTTGTTTAATTTTTTTATCTTTTTCAAGATCACCTGTAAATAATTCTTCAACACCACCAGGTTTCGGTACACGTGGTGTTTGTTGTGCTGCTGGTTTTGCTGGTACGTCTTCATGCAATTTAGGAACTTGTCGAGTCGTTTGTCGAAGATGTGGTGGTCTATAAGCACCTGCTGCTTTCGCTATTGAAACAAACGAAAAGAATTAAGATACGATGTGATACTTTATTGTTTCTAATGAATAGTATGAAAGTTTTGAGAGAAAATATTCTTTCATTGTTTTGAGGTATTATAAGAAGACTAGCAGAATTCTCTACTCTTTCATAATTGTACAAATAGATTCAGGGACGAAGAATGTGATTGTATCATGTTTTGAATTCATTCTATGACTTGTTTTTTCGGTATCTTTGTATTTCTATCGTAAAGACGCTTCGTTTTGTTTAACTGCATTGTGCTTTGAATGAGTATCTAGACAATAGACGTCCTTCGCAGCAATGATATCTCTTATTATATATGTTTTATTAGGTTTTTTTTTGCATAGAATACATAGAGACACTATTTCATAAAGTACGGGAAGTACTGAGGATCTCACAGCAATCTTTCACAAATGTTATTGTGTCTATTGTTAAAACTCTTATTGTTGATAAACGCCTCATTGAACACTAACAATCAGGATAGTATTTTGTAAAGAAATGTTTCTTCTTTCATTGTCGTTTATTTGGAATAAATTATACTTCTACCTAAGACAGTTATTTTAGTACATGAAGACTTGTATAAACTTAATTTTCATGTCTTTTATAGATGCATTTATCACTCTTAATCTATGAGCTGTACGAAGGTCTCGAAAGAATATAAAATTTTTGATTCTTATACAAGGTTTTAAAATTTTTTCTAGCCCTTTTAATCGACCGAACACAATAAAGGAATATTTTATCGTAAAAATTTTTGAGCCATCCAGTATATTACGTTTTCCTGGTGCAGAACCATCTTCAGATTTGATTGGTGGTCGTTGACCACGAGCATATGTTCCTGGTTGCCATAAAACTTGCCATAATTCTTGATTTTCACCGGTTTTATATTCATAAACAAGTTCACCAGTTAAACGCCAGACTTTAAAACTAAAACAAAACAAAAAACGATTTCTAGATCAATACGATTTAGACTTACGCGAGAACTACTCTAACTATAATCTACCGGCTGAATTCATATTGGATCTATAATGATGAGGTCTCATTAAGACTAGAAAAATTGCGGAAAGCCTCGTGCTCATAGATCTCCGATGCAGATGGAACAGATGACGGTATGAATTTTAGACTAGACAGTCTTCACTACTTGTACCTCTCGTTAAAACGACAGATCAGTTCCATCGCTGGCCTTCGGGGTCGAGTTATGACCATTTTTAGGCATTTACTAGAAAATCAAATAATCGAATTTCGATTTGAAATTCAAGCCAAAGATAGATCTAATAACTCTTAGAATATTCTAAAAGTTTCAGTCGAAAAGAAATTTCCTATAAGCAGTCGTTTCCCACAAAAATTCATTTTACTTGGAAATTCAATACCTTGACAAAAGGAATATTCTTTTCAGTTCAAA